TCGAAGTATATTTATGTAAATTATTGTCAAAACAATAAATTCATCATAAATTCGTCATCACAATAAATTAATTTCGAAATAACTCGCTCTTAGTTGATGATATACACCACACCTTCAACTTCTCTTTGCAAACTTAATTTATCTAGCTTTCGTCGCTACCAACTGAATAATTTCAAAAAGTATTTGAGGCCAATGATTAAATCATTCGATCGTACACTACAATCGTTTGTTGGAATCGAATGAATCTCTTCATATTTGGCCTACACATGAAAAAATACATTTTCTACGATTTGTTATTTGAAATTACCGCTTGTAGCACTCAGGCATACGAAAAAAAGTAAAAGGGGTACGAGGAACTCGCTCTGGTTTTGTTTCAGTTTCACGTAGTGAACCCGTCTGAATGTTTCGCCAGAACAAACCAAATCCAGTCAGGCTTATATCAAACTCATTGGATTGTAAAAGAACAGATTTCAGAAATAAAAAAAAATATGGATAAACCAACTCCAAACTTGCCGTTGAACAGAAACAAAGAAATTAAATCAAAATCATTTATCTAGATCTAAAGTCTAGATTGTTTCAAGCATTTGTCAATTTCAATATATATCTACTACTCACATCAATCACACTCGAGCTGGACAGCGATTCGTTTTTATAGTTTTTAGTTCCGCTTTCTCAGCAGTGTACTAAAGGCTTTAAAGGAGCTCCTTTTTATTTCTGAAAAATTAAATTTGAATTTAACCTTATCATCTATTAACTAAGATCGTAAATGCTTATGTTGGTTTTTAGAAGTAATTGAGATTTACGTAAGAAAATACTTCAGTTGGTATCTTAAAAATATAACAGGTAAATAAATTATAACGCTGAGTAAATTAAGTCAGTATTACGTTTTCTTACGTCTATATTCGCATTTAGACCAACCATTCACTTTTAGTAAGACTTTTTGGACTATCACAATCAGCAGAGATGTGACTTATCTTAGATACAAGTATTTGAAATACAGATAAAAGATACAAAATACGTATTTTCATCTTGTATCTAAAATACTTTTTTTAGGAAGTATTTTGTATCTTGTATTTAAATACTTTTGATTAGTATCTTAGTATCTTTTAAATACTTTTTCTGATAAAATACTTTATAAAAAGATTATTTCTTACATTTTATAAATATCACAAAACATTATTTGCCTAAAACATACATATTTACAAAAAGAAAGTGTTCAATTATCAACGCAATGAATATTTAGTTAAAAATAACTCGAATCCAAACATTGTTTGGTGTCATTTAACGCACACCCGTTATTGGTTTACGAAAAGGTTGCTGTTTGGTGGTCTAACGCGGATGTATTTCATCACAGCTTCTTACCCAGGAGGACGAGCATTACTGCAGATTTACTGTGTGTATTGTGAAGAACTGAACACAATGACGGAGAAGCTGGCACAACTCCAACCAGGTTTTGTCAATCGTTCGGTTCCACTGCTCCTGCACGACCACGTACGACCTCATACTACACAATTGGCGGTACCCAAGCTACAAGAGCTGGGGTTTGAAGTTCTCCGTCATCCGCCGTACTTAACAGACCATGCGCCTACAGACTTCTAATTCTTCCAGAATTTGGATAACGTCTTAGCCGGAGAAAAATAAATTCCCGAGAGGCAGTACAAAATGCCTTTGAAGTATTTGTTGCCTCCCGTCCAGCTGATTTCTTCAAGAAGGCATCATTAAGCTACCAATGCGTTGGCAAAGATGTATTGATTGCATGGGTGATTACTTTGATTAATAGAAATAAGAAAATAAAGCTTCATTTATTTTATTAAAAACGGAAATTTCATAGATAAAGACTTAATTAATACTTCAAATCCGGTTGAGACCGGATTTATCCGACCAGATGGTAACTAATGGCGCATTACCAACAGTACCAGCAATACCAACTCTACGTCTTTTTAGGTACATCTACGTATTATAAGCCTTTCCTACAAACCAACGTACTATAATCAACCACAGAAGCTAAGTATTTTCTACTAAAAATTTTCAAATTAGCTTAACACACTAAAGGGGCATAATTTTCGGTAGTTCTGCAAAAAAAGTTAATATACGTTCCGTTACATACTATCGCACATTCACCTCGTCACAAGTCACGCCATTAATTTTAAAACCAAGTATTGTATTTATTTTTACCCACTCTCTTCATCTCACTAGGAAAAAATGAATTTCCAGTTCTCCGTAATTTTACGTCGTACGTAAACCAGCTTTTTAAATAAATAATAATTTTATAATTAAATTTAAATAATTATTCTTGTTGTTATATTTCAGCAATTTTTCATTCACAATGCTATATTGATAAAAATTATTATTAAAAAGGAACTAAAAAATTTTAAATAATTTAAACCTGATGTATTAAATATTTGCATGTTTATATGTTACATTGTGATTGACAAACAAATAAAACGGAGGAAAAGTGGGTGAAATTTAGCTTGTAAGATTTGAGTACAAACACAGAAAACTAAATAAAAGCTTACAAAAATTGTTTCTAATGAAAAATGCTTAAAAAATCCACTTTGTCCCTGGAACCTGAAATCTGGTCTAAGATTTAGGTTTTTGTGGTCTTTAATAAACAAACTTAAATTCAAATCTTTTTTTTAGAAAAGTATTTGTATTTATAAAAAGTATCTATAAGATACCTATTTTGCATCTAGTATTTCAAATACTTTTCTCGAAAGTATTTTGTATCTGGTATCTGAAATACTTAAAGTATTTTGTATCTTGTATTCCAGATACTTTGTACAGGGTATTTTGTACATCTCTGACAATCAGTTTATTTATTGCGTTTTTTTATTAGACTTCACTACATGCTACTCACTTGTAAAATAATTTTTATTACTTTTAGACGTATTGAATCTTTTCTAGGCGACATATTCACTAGAACTAATATAACATATAAAATCCTCGTGTCACAGTTTAAGTTACAATACTTCTCCAAATGACCTTGACCAATGTTGACGAAAAGTTTATATGTGGGAAATGGAGCGTCAGACGATGGATGAAAGAGAGGCAAGGTGTGTGTGAATGAAAGAAATAAATAAAAAGAAAGATGGCGATTTTTGAGTGAGAAAGGAAGAGTGTGTAGTATTTCATGTACCAGTATAAGAAATTTGTAAAAATCAGAAACATAAAGGGTTCGATCCTGGAAAACATCGAATTATTCGCCCACCTCTTCGCCGACGTCCACGTGTATATTCAATAGTGCGGAGTTCAAAATCTATTTTTTACATTTCTAAGTGATAAAGGTGATCAATACCAAATTTATTTGACAAAAAAACATTTGTTGGGTCCTCTAGTATAATATAATAATCTTAGAAAAAAAAATACATACATTTATTATTCGCTATTTACTTCTAACTGTTGCCCTAGTTATTGTGCGTATGTCCGCATGATCAAAAGGATATTTTTTGCAGTTAAATGTAATCTCTATCAAAGTCCACCTTTCAAGTATCTTCAATAAAAAAAAACATAATGTACTATAGCGTTCCTTTTTATGATGTGAAAGAAGAGCTTACGGGTCTATATTCATACTTAACTATCGATTCACACAAGAAAAAAAGACCCATTTTTTCGATAACAAGATTTATGTTAAGATTAATTTAATATATATCTCATCGTTTCAAGACTTTGTTTCTTTTGTTCCCTTGTTCCAGCCAAGTCACATGTGAATCAACTTAATAGAAAAGTTTCATCCGAGAATAACAAAACGTGCCAATAAAAATAAACAAAAGCTGAAAACAAATGAAAAATAGTCAGCCCCAAGAGAATGGACCTTATTATTTGGGCCCGGGAACACAAGAAGTCGGTCCACAAAAGAAAGTAACAAAAAAGTTGCGTGTATAGAAACAAAAGGTTCTTTATCGAGTTCCTTAGGGACGTCAAAACCTTTGTTTTATTCCTCCGATTAAAAGTTACTACGCGTAAAGCTCACGTTTATTTACTTTGATATTTAAAAAAGAAAGTTTTTATTGCCATCGCCGAAATTATTGGAACTATTAGACCGGATAGAAAGTATTTGTAAGTATGATCAATTAAAATGTTTATTTTTGGAAAGTATTCAAAGCTATTTTAACTGAAAGTAGGAAGTGACGTAAGTGAAGCTTTTTGTTAATGCTGAGTTAATGATAATGTCTCAAAACAGGGCTGTCCAACTACTAGGACAAGCCCAGAAGGGCGGTGTCAAAGTGTGATTGGACTACCTGACAAAACCCGCTATGGATTATCCTCATGTAGGGAGAACAACCGTAATCTGATTGGGATGGGTTGGAGAACACTGGACCTGACCTTACACATGAATGAAACCAGACATTAAGATTTCAATGACTCAACTCAAAGAGATGTTTTATCGACTTCATAAATCTCGCCTTTTTGGATTATATTATCATGTAATCAAATTTATTTTGAAAAACGACAGCAATTTAACAAAATTGAAACATATTAATTGATACTATCAATAAAACATTTATATAGCTATGGCTATTATTATATAGCTTTATTAACTAACGATAACAATATTCAGTTTTGTCACAACATGTTAGAAACATAGTGAAATCATAAAAATAATAAGGTCATAAATCGAAATTCTATCATATCAGATAAGTTGGACCGAATTACACAGCCTGAAAAATTTAAAAGTTGATTAACAACAACGATCGTGGTCCGCGGCGGCTATCCACTACGCCACCGAGATACCTAGATATGATATTTTCATATAAATTATAAAATATACACCGCTCCAATCACATACTTTTCTTATCTTGAATATTATCTTGGTATAGAGACCTTACACGATATGGACACATTACACGAATCCAAGCAGCAACAATGATCCCACGTCTACCTTCAGTCGCCTTCAGAACATCTCCATAATTTATTAATACTGCATTATCATCCAAGTAATAGATGCAAAAAGTGAACCTTTAATTATTTGTCTCACACCAATTAACCCGGCAACTCAACTAATGCCCGTAGGAAAAAATCGGAATAACCCATGTAAATGGCAATACTGTTTAAATGCATAAATTACTTTTCCTTGTACATTTCTCCACGAGACACAATATTGCCTGTTTTAGTGATATAATGCATGGAGGAAATGATCGTCGTCCATATCGTGAATTGCCTGGAGAGCCGACCCCTTGTTTGGAACTCCATAAAAAGTAAAGGAACAGTCCATTCTGAGTGGCAAAAACTTCAGCTCTCTTCCCTCAGAACTTTCCCTCTAGGGACGTCAAAAGTATTATCTGTTATTTCTACCCGCTTAGCCGTTGCGGCTTGGTTTCTAATGTTACCAAGTTGTTTCAATGCGATGGCTTTAGCAATTTTTTTTTGTAAAAGTTAATTTTATTGTAGACTAGCTGTTTCTCTGCGACTTCTCCTGCATAATTAAAAGATCGGTCCAGCCGGTTCGGAGCCTATTTAATACAAACAAACAATCAAAATGTTCCTGTTTATAAAGCATCGAAAATCATGATAAAGACAATGACATGTAAGAGCTCGGGATATTTTTTTTTTTTGGTCAGCCATCCTTTGATCTCATTGCAGACCAAACGGACTAACCACTGTCCTATCAAGTTCCTGCGATCTGACCTTTTTTCTTATTTACGTGACAGATGAGACTGAACAATATTATATGATAGGATGAACAAATTTAAATATTAAAAAAATAATCACAAACTATTATTTCTTTTAGCCAGAATAAAAAAATAAAGTGAAGTATATTTTATTAAATCTCTTTGAGAAACAAAGTAAGCAACCAATCCAAAGTAATTTTTAGATAGAAGGTTTCATAATAAATAAGGCTTCATATTCTAATGAAGTTGTCTGACAACTCTAACATGATTTAGGCATTTCTCACAAAAAATCTACATTTCATTCAGACTTTATCTTAATATAGAAATGAGTAATGCCCTTCCAATCCTACCATACATTCATTTACTCATTTCGCCAGTAAGAAAATAAATGAAAATCACTAATTTTCGTCATTTGAATCCGGAATTATCTACTTTAAATTTTAACTTTTTAATAATATTGAAACCAGCTAGATTGCATAGTAAATGCGAAAAGACTTTTCCTCAGACTGATAAGTAAATAATTGTTTACTGATATTACAAAACCCTAAAAAACTTTTAATAGAAAAGAAAGAAACTGCATCTAGCGGACACCGTGAAAAAATATAAATTCTTCTGAAAGCTCTCCGTGAAAAAACCTTGTAATAAATCCGCCAGAACACGAAGTGTACTTTACTTGGCGACAGTAGCTCTTTACTTCGTGTAGTTCACCTCCGGGAAGTTACAGCCCCAAATCCCCGAGGGCCAGAGTGGCTGTCACTGTTGAAAATGTGTGTCACTTTTTATATTCACTCTAAGAGTCTTGGATTACACGGATCAAACTTTTAACGGCACTGCATCTATTTGTAAGTAGATGGAAGTTAGCATTACTACATATATTATAAAGTCTACCTTAAATTAAATACTGAAATTATTAAACTTTCTAAATTATTCTTTATAAACATTTTGTTACACTTTTAGATGAGCCAGCCGATCCGTAAACTAATCACGAATTCTGCGCACTTTTTACTCTCCTTAAGAATTAACTAAGAAGGAATTTTAATATTACATGTTAGGAATAATATTCTTTATTTATATACTTTAGTCTACCATAATATTAGTGACTAACAGACAATGTACAACCGAAACTACTGAGCTTAGAAAGTTGAAATTTGGAATGAAGATTCCTTAGGGAGTGTAGAGAAGCACTAAGAGAGGATTTTAGAAAAGCCCATCCCGAAGGGGCTAAATCAGGGGATGATAGTTTGTATGAAATTTCGTTACTACAAGTGCTAGGAGTTTCCAATTCTGCGGGTTCTTTTTGGACGCAGGTGTTCACTAAGACGGCATTTTATGAAATTCGACCTCTAAGGGATAAATAAGGGGATGTAAGTTTTTATGGAATTTTGGATTTTCTGGACTTAAAACTAGAGCACGCCGGCAAAAGCTAGTGTAGATATAATACGACTTTACATACAACCCAACCGATATCTTGGCGTAATTACCAATCAATATCTGCATAGGATTCGAAACCTACTAAAATCTATTTCCTAATTTATAACTGAAAACAGTTTGACAGGATTAAAACCAAATTCAATCCAATTATATTTGATTGATTTTACATTCAATTAATATTTAAATTAACCATATACCAAAATATATTTTAGAATCTGTAAATAATGATTTTGGATTACAGTCTATGTTTAGTAGACTTTAAATAAGTCTGAACTTCATCTATTGACTGTAACCTGAGAATGCTATAATTATACTCATATGAAAAAAGTATCAGGAATACAAAAAAAAAATATTCTTTCTTTATCTGTTGAAGTCCAGGCATAGTTGGTATGTTTACAGTGGGTACATACGGAAAGTAAACTATTGAAATATACTTCTTGTGATCACATCTCATAAGTCAGATATGAGTGCCTGCAATAAAACACCCTTTAGTAATGTGCGCTTACCACGTTACTTTTCATTATAGTCATAAATCGAGAAAGTAGGTATTTATGTGTCTGTGTTTTTGCCATATTTGCTTATCATTGTTTAGAGAGTATTGACCTCGATGGCGCAGCAGATAAGCGCCGTGACGATTGTTGTTGTTAAGCGACTTTTTCAAGGGTCGGTCACGGGATGGGTGACCAAAGGTCGCGGCTGAATTTACCGTCGTTAATTCCCTCCAATCCATATTGGGTCAGGTCATGGCCTATCTTTCTTTACCATCGATGAGGAAGATCTGAACCTCTGCAGTAGTGACGTAAAAAGGCTGATGATGATGGGGGCAGACGAGCAGACGGATCATCTGATGGTAAGTGATTACCGTCGCCCATGGACACCTGCATCACCAGAGAGGCTACAAGCGCGCTGCCGGCCTTAGAGGGAAGGGTTGAGGGGTAGAGGGAAGGGAATAGGGAGGGGTTGGGCCTCCGGTACCCTCACTCACATGACGAAACACAACGCAAGCGTTGCTTCACGTCGGTTTTCTGTGAGGCCGTGGTATCACTCCGGTTGAGCCGGCACATTCATGCCGAAGCGTGGCTCTCCCGCGGTGAATCCACGGTTTCTTTGTTTGAAATTGTATATAATAAGGTTGACTATCAAATTTGGATCTCGTTTGATTTGTCTTGACAATGAATTATATTCGATACAACATCCAGGGGCTGATGATAGAACAAAATTAGTCATCAGCACTTTGTTAAATAATGTAACTCTGTCAAATTGGGGCTTATTTGACTTTTGTACGAGTATGTCCATTACAACAACTGAACTTCTCACACGAAAGATGTTACATAATTGTCTTACGTTGTTTATAATGTTCTCTTTGTTTGTTTGCAGACTCAAAACGAGACCATTGCAACAAAACAGTGGAGATCTATGAAGACGTATCGTCCCCACCCGTCACTGCTGAGAACTTCGGCAGACCTCTCACTTGCACGTATAGGTGAGCAATGACTTGTGCTTTTCTATTAATAATGCAACGTCGGTCCGTCTACAAGTTGTCTTGTAGATCGACCTTCTTCAGGCCAGTTCTGCTGATGTTTCCGTAATAAAAGAATCTCAACTACTAGCATATTGCCATTGTACTAGCTACCTTAAGTCTAACGTTATTGGTGCAGTGTCTTTCTCACACATCAAAACTTTGAGATACATTGCTAACAGAAATTCATTAAACTAAATATATATACTTCTTGCTCGATCTAATATAATATACTGCCTTCCAATATGGGAAAGTGTTTCTAAAAGTAAATTTATTGGAATAGAGCAAGTACAACGTTCTTTACTGAAAATCATGTATTTTAAACCATTTAGATATTCCACACAAAAGTGAGATTATTATACATAATTCATTCTATCTTAAAATTACACAAAAAATAAAATTCAATATAATATTAAATATAAGGCACGACTTTGCAACCAAAAGTTACAGACGTAAGGTCAAAAGTAAGGAGAATAGATATTCGAGATTCAAGTATAAAAATAAGAAAATTCCCGGAGCTTTATCGAGTCGTTGCATTGTCGGTGAGGACTAATCCTTCTCTTAACGTTTAAGTTTACGTTTTACTATAACTATAATAATAATAGATCTTGTGCTGTATGCATCCACGTACTATTTAAAATGATTATTAGTTACATCATATCTCTGATTTTTGATACAGAACATAAGACTTTTTATTATGAGTTTTAAACCTGATAAATATAATGGATGTTTAAGATTAAAGTACTTCCTACCTTATTCAATAAAAAACATACGGTTGACTACAATATTTGGCGATTAGGAGGAAACGGAATATTAATAATAATAATATTTCTTTATTGATCTCCACAATATCAAAAAATGTACAAAAGTGCGTATCAAGGACATCAGAATTTATCGTGGAGACTGGTGCCTGCACTTGAGTGTAAAACCGTTTTACAGGTCACCAGGCCTCCATAAGGAATATAAGTAATATATAAGTAATCTGTTTTTAACTCTTTTTTAAATAATTTGCTTGAAGTAGATGTTAAAAATACGAATTTAGAAAAGTATTACACAATATAAATAATTGTAAACTTTGCTTATGACGATAATTGTTCACAGGTTTAGAGCATTCAGAGGTTCGCCGAAAGACTGGATTCTAAGGATTCGATTCAAAAAGTTCAAAGTCGGTACATTGATAAATGGGACCACCTGTCACAAAGGTTATATGCAAGTAAGGACTCACTGATGTTATTATCCTATTTTTATCTTAATCAGTAATAATTGACTTGACAAACGTTGCACTGTCTTATACAAAAACACGTATATAACCGTCTCAGGCTCTGGAGACGAGGTTAAATATTAATATTAAATCAGAAATAAATTCTTATTTATTTTTTATTTGTGCTCTGCACACTCTTTTCTGTTCTCTCCAATCCACGTTATCCTGATAACGTAAAATCTAAATTATTATATCTTATTATAATAACTTCGTTCTTATAACACACTCATACTTTCTTCTCCTCTTTTTCATTCTAGCTTTATGTCAAACTCTTTTACCCTTCAACGCATACGACTTTGGAATAGCTTCCCTGACCCCATCAGAAGATCTCCCAATAAATTTATTATTAAACATAAAGCCCATGCCTACCTCGTGAAAAATATGTAAAATTCATCATCAATAGTACGTTTCTATATTTGTGTTATTGTATATATTTATATATGAATATATATGTTTATATATATTCATATATTTTTTCGTCAGTTAGTTTCTTCTTTATGTCAGTTAGTATCGTTTTTCGTAAAAGTTGACTGAGAGAGAATGGCATTAGCATTAACTCCGTCTTTTGTACCATTTCTTTATCGGTCAATAAAGTTTAATATAAAAAAATAAACATTAACAAGAAACGTTACAACATTCAAATTTCAATAAATCCGTTTTATAAGCAAAAGTACTTTAACCTTTTCACAATTATAAACCAATTTTTCTTCGAACTAAAAATAGCCAAGTCCATTCTTCATTAATGAATTTAACAATAAGAGGTCACTGAGTTTTATTTGTATATACCTACTTTTTATATATTCTGATACATTTTTCTAATAATAATAAAAATCTAAAGTATCTATATTAGTTTGTGACCCAGACACGTTATTTTAGGTCATCGGTTTTAATAATTTATTTAAGCACAAACGGATCAAATTAATATTATTTATTCAGTCTAGACTGTTATAATGAGAGTCAAGACAGAATGAAAGATGCTTTTTCTTTCTATTCTTTCTTTTTTCTTCCGTGTAACTTTCGATTTTTTAATCTATTACTCTACGAGCATTGACATTTCTATCCTGCCGTCTCCGTAAAGTACTACGTAAACTTCAACCAGTTGTATTGTTGATTGAAGTATGTAACATATAGAATTTTATGGCTTATACGAGCTGCCATTGTGTTGACACTTTTTCTATATTTTTCCATTTAATGTCAAGTATTACAATTAATTTTAATCCTTATTATAATAAACTTAAAGTCAATATTTGATTTACATACAAATAAATTGAAGAAGATCTTTTTTCTTCCATAAAAAAAATATTTTTTTTTAATTAAGAGAAATATTTTATGCAAATTGTAGAATTCAATTGTTTATATAAAACCTTCTAAATTATTTAGGCTTTATATTGTGATGAGTGTTCGTAAATGTAGAATTGTGGTAATTGATCTAAAATGATGATTTTATATGGATATTTTTTCGGAATTGAAATTACTACAAAATGTAAAAAAAGTAAATGCTGCAAAATAATGTTCTGGTTTCAAAGCATAAAATAGGATTAAATTATTGAATTGCAGGAAACAGAAGGACGTATCTCAGGCAATCACAACTTTATAGCAGAGCCAAAAACTGTAAATGAAACAGAAATTAATTTATATCTTTTTAACGATAAGTCGTGTGAACTTAATTTTTAAACCATGACTATACGATTCAAATCTGAATTTAACTGTCTTTTAACTAACAACGTCTTATTGCTAGAAATCAGTTATTTTTCAATTACACCTTCTTTATATTAAAAGTTACAGATCTTAAAAATCATCTTAACTTCACGGTTGTACTAAAACAGAAAGAAATAACCAAATTACTGACCTCATAAAGGACGTAATTGCCTTTTGTTTTATTATACTGTAAATAACAGACCGTAAGTATGTTCACGTTACATACAGTGTCTTGAAATTTGGGTGTAACTTTGGAATTTAACGATCTTATTAAAAAGGCCCAACTTTTCTAAACATATATTTACTATATTCAATAATATTTAAGAGGAAAAGGCCCACAACATAAAAAAAAAATTCATTTAAATTGCAAATTTCAAAGGAGATGGCTCAATAACTCTAGAGTAATTTCATATTTTAATGTGAAAATACACAAAAGACCTAATAAACTCATAAAATAATCTAGCGGGGTTTCAGAAAATTATAAAACTTATAAATATATTATAATAATTTTTTCGAAAGAATGGAACCCAGACTAGCATCATTTGAAAAATAAAATACACTCGAGGTACTTAATAAGACCATAATAATAAAAACATAACACCAATTCACATTTTTAACACAGAAAATAGAAAATGCCTATTCCTAAAACCCATTAAGTGTTAAAGAATATTATTAATAAAGGTACATCATCAATTTCTTATAAACAATAACGTAAAATTGGTATTGACATAATAACAATATGTAATATTGTTGTTGATTATCATTTTTAATATTTTTTTTATTTTATTTTACCACCCTCAAAGAGTATGCAAAGAATTAGCCATTTTAATTGCCTTAAAGTAGTGATGCGACTCGAGCCTTGTTTTTATTCGAGTCACTCGAGTGAAATTGTCAAACTCGTACTCGATTGAAAAAAAATATTAGTCGAGTCTCTATGCACTCGATTGCCGCCATGCCACTAGCTAGATATCACTTTACTACTACACTTTACTAATACTTATTACAATATAATTGTTAAAAATAATTATAAAAAGAAAACTAAATTACTTGTTATTAAAATTGCATAAAATGTGATTGTTATTATCAATAATTCATTCATGGAAATTTCATTATTCTTACTTCTTAGCAAGACATTTTTTCAGTTTGTTGATTACTTAAATAAATAATATGTAAAAACTCTTATGATGTGTATTTCATTTCAATTATTACTCCATCCGTGACAATGAGTCAATTAATATAGGTATTTGTTTAAATGTTTCTAAAAGAGATCTCACTCGAATTGCAAACTTGCAACTCGAGTTGAAAGTTTCGAGTCTAGAGAGACTTTTTACTCGAGTGACTCGAACACTCGAGTATGATTCGAGTGAGATAGTTAAATTACTCGAATGGCTCGCAAAGTCACAAAGTCCTATTCGAGTCGCATCACTACCTTAAAGTACTAATTTAGTTCTTTATAGAGAGTTTTTGTAAGTTAAAGTAATGGTAGTTTGCAACAGAAAGTGAACATGAAAGTGGAAAGCAAATTAATTCTCGAGCAATAAACAAAAAAAAATGTTCTATATGTTAAGTTTGTTATTACGAAAGTGTTACTGCTTTACTTTATTACATTTTATATATAGCTTTAAATTAAATTTTAAACTTTCACGTTGCATTATATTAGATTGTATAAGACGGGTATTAACGCGTTAAAAAAATTCAAAAATTTTATCGCGTTAATACCCGTCTTATACAATCTAACTTTCAATTAGTTTAAAAACTCCAAAAACGGTTAGGATGTCGAACACCAACGTTTTAGTAACAATAGAATATTAATATGACGGCAAATACTTATCTGTTACTGTATTTAAATAGTAGGTAAGTACATTCTATCTTAAACGTTTCCTGAAACTAAAACATACACCTAAAAAATATCGTGACAGAATAAAATGCTTGTAACTTATAAACCTCGCTAGTTGCAGTAATAAATGTTTTTTTTTTTCTATTTGTAGAATTTATAGAGATATCCAAATCTGATTGTGTGACAAAGACTTTTACTTGTGTGGCAAATTGTGAATGGAACGTGGGGTATCCATTAACTATTCTTCTTTTGGGATGTAAACTTATTCAGTATTTTGTCCGTTTCCGTAATAAACATTGGATTGGAACTCAAACAATATTTTAACATAGTAACTTAAATAGCTTGTCGGGGCGTAAGCGAGAATAAACTACAATATTCTTTAAACGAAATAACTACCTAATTTATAAAATATTAAATCAAGTAATCTTGTCATACCATGGTTAAGTTTGGTACAGTGTATTTATTCAGTAACCGTCTAACTTTTGCTTTTATCAAACACAAACTTTCACTCATCGTATCTCTAAAAAGTTTAAAACAGCTGTATATGCCCACTTACCACCTAAAAAACTAGCGCACTTTTTAAAAACACTTTCCGATTTCAAGATTTCATATCATCGTAGAGCAATGAGACCCAGATCAATCGACGCTGAAAAAGCTGATTATTACCTTTAGCTTAGTCTAGTTACCTTTTAATGAGATACGCCCTTTCTCTTTTCGATTGTCTATCATTACCAACATAAACAATATTAAAGTTGAATTAAAAAATACTTAATAGAAAAATGTCATATCCATATTATTCTTCCCTATCTATCACTGATTATAATTTAGGTATATTGGTGTATACTTTTTTACTTTATTATATTTAGGAAAGAAACAATGTTAATAATAAATACAAATATAACATTTTAAAACAGTACATTAGTCAGTAAAGTTTTCACTAATAGTTAAATGTAGAACAAAGATATAATATAACTATATGCTACATTAAAATTGAATTCTAACTTTTTTCCAATCACTAGAATCAATGAATTACCCATCTTGACAAACGAATCTATGCTGCCAAATCATTTTAACGGTGTTCCTATTCTAGAAAACTCTCAATAAAGATATAGTAACCTTATCGGTCTATTAAGCCATCAAATTTAAACTTAACTAATTTGGATATACACGGTCAAAAACTATTTATTAAGAACACATTACAGCTAACCCCTAAAAGTTATCAGATAAATTCGAAAGAAGCTCTTTCTTCTGAAAGCTATCGACATATAAACTAATAAAAAACTTACTAATGAAAAAGTCTCTGATCCTCCTCATTCAAAGTAAAAGATTAAGTCAAATTTTGCAAAAGTTGAAACGAACACAAATAATGATCTTTAACTAACTATCCTTAGAGTGCAATTTGCAGTTACAAACATTCCGTGAGAGCTAAGATAAAGTAATCCTTACCCTCATAATCAGCTTAAGGGGGAGATTCCAGCAAAAAGTTCCCCGTGAAAATAGCTGAGCCTCCAAAGTAGGATTAATTGAGTTCGTTCGCGCTTCGGCAATTGAACTAATTAATTTTTGAACTTCCTACGGGAACTCGGAACTCGACGGCAGCCAATTTGGACAACTAATTATCGGATCATTCGTTTATGATTAAAACAAAGTTGTTGTTGGCACCAGGTTTTAATTTGACGGTACCAGATTGTTAGTCCGTCAGTCTTATTGATAAAGGTTAAAAGTTTAATTTAGAATGATTGATAGTTTTCTAATTGCTTGGAGCGTTCCAAGCATTGTTAGGATCCCTTCGAACTCTCTGAAATGTAATATAAATATTTTATCCAAAATATGTTTTGATATTGGAAAATTAGAACTAAATAATCAGTTTCATATTCCATTTCAATTTAACATCATGAAATATTTTCTAAAACGATAACAAGTAAAATAACACATGCCATTACCTAAATTCTGATAATTTCTAACGACTAATAATTTTTCAGATTGTAGATGGAAATGCGAAGACAGACGTCTCCAATAGAAAAGAACCCGGACTGTTCTGTGGGGAGATTGAACAACCTCAAACTTTCATCTCAGAGACGAACTTCGTTAAAATCGTGTTCCACGCCGACAACTTTACTGATCAAACTTACTTCAGCTTCGATTCCAGGTGTGTATGTAAATCGTATTAAAGAAGATATACATATGAAAATTTCAATTATTAACTTTGGAATTCTTAGATATGTGAAACATCAAATTTACTATTCCACATAGAGGGATATAACTTTTTTAAATAATTGTATTTAAATTGCAGAATACTCAATTTATTTGAAATGTATGGTTATACTTTGTAGTTGCTAGTTGGAAAATTACAGTTGCTTGCTTGCCGCAATTTAGTGGCTTGCCTGGCACAAATGTAACAAGCAAGTCACTATAATATTCTTTTCAATTGTCCTTAAATGCCACACTTGTTTACTTTCCCTAGCTTAGCTCAGTGGAAAGACTTTTATCATATATGCGTAAAGTTTTACGGTCGCATAGGTGGATGATAAGTTAATGTATTTGAACATTTATAAGCCAATCAATATCTTTAGCCAATGTAGAGAATTGACTTTTGCAAGAAGGTACTTTTACAATACTTTTGATTCTCTATTATTATATTGCGTAGATAGATAAATAAGTTTATATATAAGTTTATTGGTTAATTACAACCATTACTTTACCTATATAGACCAATTAACCATATACCTCAGATCCATATCTTGTAGATATCCTTTCATGGCATTCTCTTTGTTTTTTTTAGTAATCCACAAATTAATAAATATATTGTTGCAGGGCTGAACAGCAGTTCGAAGTGTATCTACGCTATGGGCAGCACCCAGAGTTGTATCCAAACAGAAGAGGAGAAGTAGTAGCTGGGTATGTATTTAAGAATTTCTACATAAAAACTTTTTAAAAAATGGAGTCGGTTCCATTTTTTTTGCTACTGGTTTTCTGTAGTTAATTAAATATTAACCGCCCGACTACAATGTTTCTTAAAACATTTAATCGCTTTTAAGATAAGTATTATTTTTCACTTTTTTATCTTTTAAAGTTTTTATTTCACACATTTTCGTGATATTTTGAGTTTTGTGGTAACAAACATCACGCATACTTAATGCAAATTTAAGACTTATATCGTTTTCTCATAGAATCCATTGCCAGATCTGAGCAAAAATTAAAATGGGAGCATACGGCAAGTACTAGCTTTTAAATAAAGAAAGTATTATCAAAAATCGCTCCTACCAGTAAAAAGTTATGAGGTAACACAAGAAAAAAAAATACAGTGGAATTGAGAACCTCCTTCTTCCATCCATTTTCTTTCTGTCACCATTATTTAAAATTAATTCTTATCTATTCTATAGATCTAACATGCCTACCCCAAGCACATTTATTTAACACTATTAACATTTGTAAAATGAATTTAATAAAACTCAGATCTTTCATTTAAATAAATTAAATAAATGACTAGAAAACCAGTAAAATACTTAATCTTAATTATTTATAAATAATACACAAACAGATCATAATCAAAAGTGAAACCTACAAACATATTTAAAGTATTTAGACTAGACTATAATCTAAATATATTACACACAGCATAACTTTTAGTATACAGTAAATTTATCTTCAATCAATTAATGCATAGACATATTTTCATCGATAAAAATTTTCATTATAAATACATAACATACATAAAATAGTTTCATATTTTTTTGTGGTATCAGATGTGAATTGAAAGACAGCTTTTTAACCTGTACCATTAGACACCATTAGCAACAAAATAATAAGAATCTGATCTCGCCATTTCCCGATAACTTGAAAGGCATCCGAAATTCAGTACACTCCCAAAAAGTTTTATTCGCACATGAATATTTAATTGCTCCCGTCTCCGATGTCACCCAAAAATACACAACATCAAACGTTGGCAAATCATTACGTTGTAAACGAAAAGAAACATCGTTACAAGTTACAAGCAAACAATTTATTCTGTCTAGGCGGTCCAAAGCAGGTCCCTTATTTAAATTATCTGCCGAATTGCAAGGCCAACCTTCAAAGGAGGTCGTATTACGTGACTAACATTTTGGAGCAAATCGCTCGGAAAAGCTATTCACCATTGTCTGAATTGAGTTTGAGAGCGATCAGTTCGGATTGTGAACGTATTAAAGGGTGGGATTAGAGACAGCTGAAATTATACAGCAGTCTTGCTCCATACATCCCATTGATAAGTACTGAGAAAACACGGAAAGATTTGCTAAGCCTTGTGAAGTAGCTACACTCAACAGGAAAACACGTTGTTCTAAACCCGAGATATTTTACCTGAGAATATTTACAGCGTAACTGTAGATTGATACTGACACTAACTATATGAAATATGATGCCAAAAATATTTTAAATACGTGTCTTTGTCTTTGTCAATATCTTTATCAATAGTCTAATAATATCTGAATAATGTTATAAAAATATATTTATTTTTTAACTAACTTTAACATTCTTTTGTGAAATCACCCTAATCACTAGAAAATGACAAGAGAAAGGATTGGCTTAAGTTACATTGTTCACAATTCTTTGATTATTTGAGTTACACTCGAAGCACTAGGGTATATGTAATGAATAAATTCTTTATGTTATGTTGGAGCAGCTTAATGGGAAACCCAAACACATGCAGTGCTTTTCTGTCCAATTTGCTGTTAATATTTTTGATAATCGACCAAGGTTAATTAAGGGTGACACTTCCTTCAATGTTTGATATGCATTTAATTCCACTTCTGCTCTTATCATGTCGTCTAATATTGTTAATCTTCCTGATCGACAGGAGTCAAGGAGATCAAAATTTCCCGGCCTGAACTCGTAAAACCATATTTGGTATTTACGATTAAAAGCATGTGAACTTGGAAAAATATCGCAAATGTTTTTGGTCACACCTAACGCGAGGTAACCTTGTGAAACTTAAAAAGCATAAAGACATGTACGATTTTCTGGTATTAGACATGCCATTTCATCCAATATTGCAAAAAAAAAAGTACTGACAAGCAAACAAATCTTTGGTAATGACTTTGGTAAGCATTCGTACATAATAAACTTGCAAATAACAATCGATATCGATATGTACAGAAAAGACGTTACAGGCGAAGCATTGTTGCGTTTCAATCCATGTCTATACTAGAAGCTCAGAGATCAATTCTCCTATTTTGGAACAGTTAGTATTATAATATAATAACGGCTTACTGTTTTAATCTGCTGGAAAAGTATTAATTAAAAAAAAACTCATTTTCAATAAATTTAGGACCGTTTTCCCTTCGTTCGTACCCGAAATGTTTTGAACGTTTCCAACGACACCACTTTAAGCAGAATTTCAATAAATTATCACCGTCGCTTATTGCATTTCGTGCCATTTGTACCGGTTTATACAGTGAGATGATTATTAAGGATTCTATTTGGGTTCGTAAATCATTTCTGAGTTTATTTGACGTGTTTCATTACATAACTGACAATGGTATTTGATTTTCAACTAAAACTTTTAATGAAATTTTTTGATCACAGCTCACGAGCTCAAGAAAATAGTTGATAGTGTTAACAGTCGTGACTGATGCTACATATTAACTATTTTCTCCATATATTAGATGAGAAAATAATAATTAATAACTTAAAAATGTATTGGACTTCAACTCGTTATTTCGTAAAGACTGTCGATCAACTATGCAGATACGTTTGTTAAACTAACCTCATAATCAGTATGTCATAATAATTACCAACTAGGGACAGATAATACGAAGTGTTATGTGAAGTCACCCACCTGCATGAATATTTAGGTTATGAGAGCGGTCCGAATAGACATTGCTAGAACGAAGTTTATAAAGGGTAATTTATTGAAATAACTTTTATATAGGTTTTTATTTAAAGCAGTTTCACCTAATAACTCCAATACTATAAATTTTAGCAACTTTCACATACACTCAATACCAAAGGATTCGGAATAAATGTTGAGAGTTATTAGCACTGCAATCGCAGGGATTTGTTGCTAAAATTGTTGTATATCGATTAGGATATACAAAACTGGTTATAATCGCAATTTTGTAGTTGTTCATAAAAAAAATATATAATAAAATTGTCAATGTCTTTATAGTTGAATAACATTAAACACAGTAACTAGATATATTAATAAGCACTATATACTTTGTGCCATTGTAATGATAGTTCAGAGACTTAATGGCTAGACTAGTCTCTATGCCAAGGCACATCTGGAGAGCAGAGCAATGCGTGCAGATTAAATTCTGCAGCGAGTTTGTTAGACGAGTAATGAGGGAGTCAGATTATAATTGTTTGCTATGATATAACGGCATTAAAATTATATAAATATTATTTTCATCAAATAGTGTATAAGTAAGTTTTATAAACACCTAGGGATTCAGATTGCAGAACTCAAAATACAGTCCTAACAAATCATCTCGACAGATCACCCGAATAAATCATGTCTGAACTTGCCAATTACTTAAGGGGCTTATCCCAAATGTCTGGAGCGCTCCAGAATCATTTTCTGCCACCAAATGGCCACACTTCGGCGAGTACGTGACCAAAATTGCAGATAAATCGTCGGCCGGTCACCTATTATTGCCAACGCTGATTTATTCCTGGTAATCAACTCTTAGAATTAAACTGAGGTGCCCCCGGGATTTTCTTGCGTAATGGCTGTTTGTTTTAGTAATAGCCAATACTCTCTCTGCGAGATATGCAAACTTTTTTGTAGATATGGCACTGTTCAATCGACCAAATTCATTGGTTGAGTGGTTTTCTACTTAACTAGGTTTCAAATGGCAAATTTATATCAGAGTAAGTCAGTCAGCAGCCATTTAAACTGTTTCAAGATTATTCTTGGCTAAAGTTAGCGTATTCGGTTTCTGATCGAGATTAGACAATTCTTGCACGCGCCTGTCATTGACGTGTAGGCAAAAAAAATGATATCAAGCTTTTCCGTACTTCAGAAATTACAAGAAGCCGTTGGTCTCGCCAATCATTAACATTTACCAATTCTTATTAAGCTTATGTAGACATTCATCGTAGCCCAAAGTGCTTCTATCCTTAGAGAAACAACAATTCTCAGTCAGGTTCAGTCTTTAAAAAAAATAACAAGTCTAGTTTAGCATCGTATATTATTTCTTAAATACTTATATATGAAATATGACCATAATAAGAAAAATATTTCTTTTTTTTTTTGTGTAGATCTTATTGCGAGCGAGTGTTTCGAGACTGCAGACTTCAGACGTGCTACGTACAATCTGCAGCATATCCTGGCGTCTATCCGAGAAACTTACATTGCCGGTAATTATCAAATGTTTGTTATAAGGTTATCTGTAATAGTGAGAATTGGCTTCATGTGATCCTTTAATTGTTAAAAATAACAAAGTTGACACCTGCGAGCAAATCATGATAAATCATTTCAATTTAAGGTACTAAAACAATTCATATATTAATAAGTTACCTTCTATTACATTTACTACTTTTAATATTTAATAATTAAAGAATGCTATTAACCCAGTTTTTTGACTATTACATGACACTTAGAACATCAGCTCATAGAATATTAGCCCAACATTTCGAAGTAAGCAAAATAGCTACTTAGTCGTATATAATTAATGCTTTTTAATATTCTGGTTATATTTAAAATTAAAATATATGCAACCTCCCACCAATAGTGCAGCAACATCTGCATAAACATAAACGTGATGTTTCACTAAACTCGTTCGCATACAATTTTTCCGCTCGTTTACGTCATAAAATATTTTTATTGCGAGAACCGATGATGTTCAAAACACCGATATTGGAAAAGTTTTCTGTTTACTACGACATGGTCAATTTCATGAACGGTATGATGGAATTTATGACTTTCTTTTATATTATTAAATTGTATATTCCAAATATACTAGTACCTAGTCCATAGAAAACGCAATTGATGATTCTAATCATAGCAGCACTAGACTTTTATTAAATTTCACAGTTTGTAATCGAGCTGAAAGTCCACTATGCACACACACACACGCAACGGCCGCATAGTACGCAACGGATTGTACAGATTTGCCGATGTCATATGACCACTGCATCCAATTTATATAGATCACTTTTTGACAGTTTCGACGCTTATAAATTGTAATGTGTGAATAGTAAGGCTTATGAAAGTAACCCGTATGGTATAATTGGCACGCATCTCATTATCGGTGCGACCGGTGCGTACCATACGACCGTTGCGTGCGTGCGGCCACGGTGGACGTTCACCTTATTAAACGTAAGGATATATACATCCAATTGGAATGATAGTAAAAAAATATAATAATTCCAGCTCATGTTTGATTAAAAATGAATACAGTAATGTTAAAACAGAATATAATATCTGTTGTTTTCCCATTAGCTACCACCTCAACACCCGGCTGCCATACATAAAGTTGTATATTGAAAACGAAGAGTTTAACATTGATGGACAACGGTGTGAAAACATTATGACATGTCCAATGAGACCCATCACATCTGGTAAGTCCCTTGAGTATTATATTTCAAATTTAACTCACAACGCAATGAGATTTGAACGAACGCAATGAGAATCCGTGGGAGAGCCACGTTTCGGCATGAATGGTCCGGCTCGACCGGAGTGATACCACGGCCTCACAGAAAACCGACGTGAAGCAACGCTTGCGTTGTGTTTCGTCGTGTGAGTGAGGGTACCGGAGGCCCAACCCCTCCCTATTCCCTTCCCTCTACCCCTCAACCCTTCCCTCTAAGGTCGGCAGCGCGCTGTAGCCCCTCCGGTGTTGCAGGTGTCCATGGGCGACGGTAATTACTTACCATCAGGTGATCCGTCTGCTCGTCTGCCACCTATCCCATAAAAAAAAAAAAGATTTACAATCAATAGGGATTGAACATATATTTTTCATTCGTTTAAAGAAGAATGGCGAACTTCCATTCCAGACCTGAACATTTAAAGTCCCGTTTATAAATGAAATAAACACTTGAAAGCTCAATAAATAAAAAGTCGACCAAACATCTAAAAAAATACAACTAAAATAAAAATAAATCCAACAAGATCTGCCCATTTATTCATAACAAAAGAAATATTTCTTACATAAGACTAGACTGTATGAACTAAATCCCTACGCCTTTAATGAAATCAATAATTTATACCAAAATAATCGATATAATTATTAAATATAAAATAATCGGATCGTGAATTAGCAGTGTTGGCATATACTGGTTTTATCACTGTCATTAATTTCATATTCAGTGTGAATCCTGGTCTCACACTTAAATTGTTTATTCTACATGTGAATTTATTTATTACGCAAAATGCAACATCTAATACTATGGTTTATTTTATTTTTCAAAAGTAAAGCGCGTATTGTTGTTTTTTTATTGACATAGAGTAAATAGACATTTGACATGCTGAATACAGACTGAGAGAATAAACGTCAAACGTATATTCAATATATCGAACCTCAAATATGGACCTGGACCACCGATTCCCATTCATAGTCACTAGCGATGAACTTTCCATAATAGTCTTCGTTGGTCCGTAAACAATAGTTTGTTTTGTTATGATCAGGGCATATGATCAGGTCCTTTAGTCTACTACTACGTTTTCCTTTGGTCATCGCTATGATAATATACTTAGCTATTGCTATAAAATATTTATTTTTTAGAGCGTGATTTTTATATTAAAATGCGACGAACCACAAATTGTGCCTGTTTTATATACTCACCCATAAATTGGAGAAATAATACAGTTTTTTTTTTATAATTTGATACACCGTTAATTTTCTTTCTCACATTATCGTCATCAGTCTATTAATGACCCCACTGCTGGGGTACAGGCCTTTCCTGAAGATGAAATCGAATCGAAATAGGTAAGATGTGCCATGGCCGACCACGCGGGCAGTATGGATTGATTGGTGTTAAAGACCGCAGATACAACCGACACCGTCGGTTCAACGTGCCTATCGAGGCACGAAGAAGCTGGAGATAATATATTATTGGACAAAACGCGCTAACCACTTAACCATTGAGTTCTTCCGAATATCAAACTATTTATCCAATATTATAACTAAATAGGTCTTCAATTTTTCATGGAAATGTGAACGACCGCTGTTTTTACGATGATTGTAATTTTAATTATACTAAGAATACGCCGAAGCGTCTCAGATCTCCACGTTTTTTCAATATTCGTAATAAAAAAGATGCTTAGAAAACTACTTGAGAAAGTCAATTATCTTGGGTACTAGCTCGGATCAAATATTATCTTGGAAGCGTAGCGGGCAAGCGTCGCGCGCCTCGGTCGCTGTTGTTAAGCAACTTTCGTAAAGATATAAAAAAAAAATTATCTCGAACTGGCTCTAGAAGGCATGTTAAGCCGTTGGTCGGCTCCCGGTCATATTTTCAGTCGTTACAACCCTCCAATCCGGATTGGATCAGCATGGAGGGTCGTGGCCCATTCTCCTCAACCATCTATAAGGAAGGCCTGAACCCTTGCAGTGGTGACCTAAAAGGGGATGATGATGTCGAGTGATTATTATCAACTTATCAATATCTCCATTGCACAGGCATTATCTTTAGATAAAATCAAATAAGGAGAAGGGGCTGAATGCGGATTGTATTGAAACGGGATTTATCATAAAAAATCTGAATGGCAAACTTAATAGTCGTCCAGCTTCTAAACGATAAAGAAAACGTTGTTTGTGTCACTCATTGTATTTGTCTCAGCTTTTACCTTTTATTCATTTTAAAGGTTCTTTATTAATATTAATATGACTTCGTGAATACAATTTTCATTCATCATTTTCGGGAGTAAAACAAATTTTAATTACTTAATTAATTTTAAGGCTCGATGGCGTAGTGGCTAGCTCACTTGGTCTGGTTCTCAATGACCGTTCAAAAGATGTGTGATCAAAAATGTATTATTTCAAAGTCCTCCGTGCATGGGAAGGCACGTCTGCTGTCGTTAATACCCACCACTCCGCACTGAGTACCCGCAGTGGGTCATGCCCATTCTCCATATTCGATTCCATCCATGGGGAACACCCTATCAGTGGGGACATTAATAGACTAGTGATAATGTATTTAAAGACACAAAAAAATGTTTATTTATCCGACATATTTTGTGACTTTTTTATTAGGTAATCTACATTATGAAGCACTTTTTAAAACACAGAACTCCAATAAGCTAATAATATGATTCGTATATGAGTCAATGGTTCACATCTTTTGATATAATTTTAATATAAATGACATTCGATGACTGAATGATTTCTAAAGATATCAAACTAGTTTGTATCCATATATTTGAAGAAATAAACTAGCCAGATATACGAAAATGCACATAAAGCGACCACTATGACGTTACCCTGGGGAGCCATTGCTTCTTGTGAGTCCGAAGTTGGGACACCATCCATCTTACCGAGGTCGTGAGGAGAACAGAGTCTTTGAAAAGTTACTTGTTTAGTTAAGTATATGTATTCGGATTATAACTTATATGTGAGCCGAAATAGTTTATTACACTTTTATTTTATATGTGCAACGTGTATTTCGTTTGTAATATTCTTAAATCAATTTTAAATATAAGGTGACATGTGAATATATTGAAAGATGGCGATAATACATATAATACACTCCCAGGTACAATTAGCCGCCCACTTTCTATTTCTTCAAATTCGCAGAAATCGGAAAACTTAGACCATATTTTATGAAAGGAATATTAAAAACTATACTTAAAGAAAAATAAACAACAAAAATATTGGAAAAAAGTCTTTTATTAAAGGATGCTTGTTATGTTATGTTTTGTTTCACGGCGGGCTTTTCAGCAACTACTATTTCCTTAAAGTTTGTCTTGGTAATTTGTTTAACTTACGTGCTAGCCGTAGTTCTACCTTCGAAATTGCTGCTTTGGTTTGCCTGCAGTCTGTCGTTTGTGACCAGTGTTCATCATGTTGACGTAAACTACGTTCTCTTATCCAGTTCCTGAGTTGTCGAAATGGGATATGTATAATGGGTTCCGGTCCGATGGGTTTTCTGCTGGACCCCTCTCTGGCCAAGCAGTCTGCTGCATCATTACCCCTCGACCCACTTTGTCCCTTAACCCATTACAGAGTTAATTTGTTTCTCTTACATACCATCATTAATTTACAGTGCCATACGTGTATTAAATCTGATGTCAACATAGGAAAAAGAAGGTTTGGTACCTTCATTTAATAAAAAATAAACAAATTTGAGGTCAACTTTCGGCAAACAATTTTTCATTTACATTTCAACAAATTTAGGTCAAAAAGAAATCGACGTTTCGTTTCTTGAGTGAGAAAATAATCGTTAATCAACGGCTCCTTGTGTGGACCTATAATTACATTAACCTTATGAATCATAACAAAATCTATTCTCATAACATTAGAGACTAATTTCCCTTGACACCATAACAAAGTATCGGTTTAGCCACGTCCGTTATTTCACTTGTTATAATTTTACCCTATTCCACTTTGCTGAACGAAAATTTACGGTGACTATAAATAAGGAGGACTCAATAATGAGAATTAAATCCTCGGGTTTGTTCGTACTGAACTTTTCCAGGGAGAAGTTATTAAAGGAAGAAGTTAAAATAACGTCCAAAAAAGAAAATAACACTGTATCGGCATCGGGATTCCATCTTAAGTAAAGATTTACTTGAAGAGATTCCAATAATATATTTACATATGTCTTAGACTTTGTCATTTACCATTACTAGTTGTCTCTTTGAAAAGCGATATAAATAAAAGCCGTTCAATCAGTCGACTTAAAAATATACGAGAGATGAAGTTATTCTATATCGCTTTATAATCTAGTATTTTTTATGAAAGAACTATAAACCTATTTTATTTAGCAATTTTCATATTCAATCAGTACCTGTGACCAAACTTTTAGCTTCCATCAACTAAAAGTTCAGAATCCTTTAGAATAACTTCGAATATTTTGCGAAATATTTTTTAGTCACAAGAAAAGTAAAAAAAAAAAACAAGAATTAAAAATTTAGTTCGTTTCTATAGATTCTCATTTACTTACAACTCACTCCAGTGCGCTTTAATCGATATTTTGGAAGATACTTGGTTTTTTATAAGTAGCCCGGAACTTTTACTCAACAATATACACTAACATGTTTCACCTCTCCAAGAAGAATACTCTGCAGATATCTTGCTGTACCAAGTGCTATGGCTGTTGCCAATTAATGATGATGTTAATAATGAAAAATATTTCACAGGTTCCGAAAATTGCCCATACGACTACATAAAGATTTACGATGGAAAAGATGAATCAGCTTCCGTGATTGGCACTTTCTGTGGTATGGGCAAATTCCCATATTCTATCATCGGTACTTCTCAAGATCTATTCGTGGAGTTCGTCAGCTCACCAGCAGGTAGGGATTATTCAGACTTTCAAAATGGACAAGTGTATATAAAAAATTAGATGTGACAGGCAGACAGAATATTTTATATTGCTTTATAAGGAACTTTTATTTATATCTGCGCAACCAAACACGTACATTATATAATCATTTTGATGGACTTCCAATAATTAAAGTCACACCTAGAACATTTTTGTTTTTTTTTATGATACCAAAACACTATGAAATTTTACTACTAATAAATATTATATAAAACCTGATATAAGCTTATTTCCTCTTTTTTATTTAATGTTATCGGTAAAAAATAAAGTATCTAGACATCTGTTACTAACTTTTACATTTTGAATCATGAGCTCCACTTTTCTTGAATATATTGTAGTTCTATATACAAAGTCGTACTATCGTACTAATTTCAAATAAAATTGATGCAGATACAATATCAAGAAACTAAGCTTTACAAAGTGAGATCTAACTGTGATCTATTAATTTTCCATTTCAAATAACTCACAACCGCACTAATATAATTTATCCTAAGTTCAAATAGCTCAGGATCTATTTATGATGTACCTAAAGCGACCATTTGTCATTCGTCCTAATGTTTTATTTGAACTGTGTCCAGGCAGTAGACCGCCGTTGACTGATTATGATAAAATATGTTACTGCTAGGTAGAGTTCATCAATTATGTTGTGTTTTTTTGCGAGAATATGAATTGTAGACCAAGACAAAGACCGATCTGTTATTTTTCTTTTTTTTTTTTTTTTGAAGAACACTTGATTCTAACTTATTTTATTCTATTTTATCTGGCATTGATTTACTTACGACAAGTTCTAGTATTACTAAAAAGTCATATTCGTTATTTGCATATGTAAAAAAAATATTAAATTTTTTGCCAATCAATAAATAGCACTTATATATGTCAACACCAGCTTTGTAATGTTAATGTTACTATGGCGACATGTAAAATCTTCCATTATTTTACTTTCTGACATTGTATACGAAGTAACATTATATAATGTATTCTTTTTGGATAAATATTAATATTTTCCACCAGGACCCCTTCTGAACACCGGGTTCCACTTTAATGTTGGCAATTGGCCAGGTCACGTGGAAGCGCCAGGGTCTAAAGTTGGGACATGCGATTGGGTGTTGACAGCAGAATCTCTCAAAGCTTCAGGAGATACTGAAGGCATATTCCTATCGGTGGCTCACTGGTATCCGCCTCATACATCATGCACATATTTAATGAAAGGATTCCCAGGACAGGTGGTCAGGCTTTATTTTCCGAGGTAATTTGAATTGAAAAACTACCTTCTAAAATTGGTACATGTGTTAACAGAGTGAAAATTATGAATGTAATATGGTTAATTAAGGAATCGACCTTAGATACCCCACATAATCACTTTGAAGAGTTTGAACCTCTTTGCGAGCAACTTGAGTTCAATTTTTCCAAGTATTAAAAAAATAATTGATAATTTGATACTTCGATAAGAAATAAAGTACCAAAATTATATGATGTAACTGTCATTTGATTTACACCCCAACCCTAAATAGTAGTTTGAATATTGTCACAATAATTTATAATAATTTGTCTAATATTATTAACTAAGTTTAAAGTCTAATAATGATCGAGACCTAATCTCAATTTCGTAGAAACCCCTCTTATGTTAATATTGTTTTGACTAACTAATTTTATTACGCAACACCAGCAGATTTAATCGTAAATGAATATACTTGTTTTACATCTGCTTAAATGAAAAGTGAAGAAAAATAACATTTATTTTTTCTTTAACAGTTTTCGCATCAACCGTATAGAATCACCAATAGTGCCATGGACTGGTGATTGTGGTGAATCTCTGACGTTATATGATGCGCCAAGGCCAGACGACGCAAGAATCATCAAAACCTTCTGCGACACTTTCAGTAGACCAATGGAGAAACATGATTTTGTTTCCACTGGCAACGCTATGTTTGTGCGTTTCGAAAGTAAGACTGGCAGCTATAGCGGGTAAGAATGGTTGTACTTATACATAATCTAGGAAAATTATGGTTTTATAAAGAATCACTAAATTTCAACTAGTTTATCACTTACAATTGGTCTTAAAGTACATAATTAAGATGTTATAATTTTCTAAAATATGTATTATTATGTATTGATTTTTAATTATTTCTTTTCCATTACTTTTTTGATAAGTTATGAAGATTAAGATTATAATTTAGAGAATTAACTTCTATTGTTTTTAGATCATCGCTTTATTACTGGGCTCATTACGACTTCTTCAATAACACTCGTTTCGGAGAACCGGTACCGGGTACTGCGTGCGATGAAGTCATTGCGTCTTGGAAGCAACGAGCTGGTCGTCTGCGGTCTCCCCTGAACACTTTGGTCTACAAGCAAGCTCCACCCGGTGAAGATGTCCACTGTCTATACAGATTTGTGACCGACAAAAGAATTTACGCAAGAGTTATTTTGACGATATTGAGTGTGAATTTCAAGGTAAGTTATTACGAGATAAATAAATAAATATTCAAACTTTGATTTTCAAAAGTTCAAATATGAATCTTAAATTTCATTAAACTTGTAAAAGCAAAGGCACCTTAAAATATTACAAAAAACATTATAAGCCAACAAATATTTATGTATCAATGTACAACGTACATATTTTTTCCGCAGGAACATCCATACACTCCAGTATCCTGCCAAAATTGCTACGAAGACCGTGCCGATAAGCTTATTATTTGGGAGCCATTTTCAGGAGGGAAATCTCCCAATGTTTCTATAGGAGTCACATCAACGCCTCTGCCACTTCACCTGGCTGTTCAAAGATCATTAGGCTCATGCCTTTGCGCAAAACATGCTAACACAGTATCTAGAGCAAGACCTTACAGAGTAGTTTCTTCGGGAGAATCTCTTAATCTTCAACTTATCGTAGACAACGCTCATGCGGCGGCATCGTACTTTAAGAACCCATCACCACTCTTTGAAGCCAGATACGAGTTTGTTCACGGGCCTCTTTGTGGTCCTCCTGTTCTGGTAGCTGCTTCTGATGGAGAAATAGTTTATCCACATTTAGAAGCTTTGGGATATACGGAACCACCTAAAAAAATCCAATGTATTTGGGACTTGGAAATAGAAGAGAAGAGAGACATCTGGTTACGATTTGATAGTATAAAGTTTTCTTCGAGACACTGCGAAGATGGTAACATTCAAATATATTTACCGGGTAGGATCGAACCATTCCTTTCAATATGTGGAAACAACGTAACTGAAACGGAGAAATTGCCAATTCTATCAGCTGGAGAACTTGGTTTTGAATCTCTAGACGATCCGCTTGTGATAGAAAAGGATAAAACTAGATCCATCAGAATTGTATTTATTGGTAGCGCATCTCCGGCTCGTGCAGCATTTAAAATTGCTTGGACAGGACTTTATCATCTTCCTAAAAACTCGGACGGCACACTGATGACATCTAAACTAACCGATAGTGGGTCTAAGCATTCTGATTCAGGGCAAGGTTGTGATTTCATATGCCCTGGAGAAGACGCATTATGTATTCCAGCCAGATTAATATGCAATGGAGTAGTCAATTGTCCTAATGTGACAGCGGCGGAGAGGAAATTCTGGACAGCCGAAGAGAAAAGAGCAAGAGAAGCATACTCTGAAGATAGTTTGAGAAGATTGGGCTATTTGGATGCTTTAGGCGGTATACCATTTGGTCAATTGCACGATGAATCTTCAGAATTATGTGCCGGAGCCAGAAATTCTGTTGGTGGAGATTGGACTGCACCAGCTTTAGGAGCTGGATTGGCCATAGTTTTGGGAGTGTGCGCGTTACTTGCTGTCTGGCGGTTATGCTGCCGCAAGAGGTCACCAGATGAAGAATCTCTGGATTACTGACACGCGGCCCGCGGTGCGCCTCACGCACCTTCTTCTCTCCATTCCAGATCTACATCAAGAGATCTACCGTTAGATTGGAGCCTTCATTGACAGACACTTTACTGAGCGCCGGAACCCTCACTTGTTGATCACTAGACCTATAAACTGTTGCGTATTACGATGCACGTTCAAAACCATTCCCACAATTACAGCCCACACGATTCAATTTGTTATGAAATTAATGATCGCAGGCTTCTAATATAAACTTATTAAATCAAGAGGGTTCTCTATTTAATGTTTTAGGCGCTCAATTAGTAGTTGATATGTAATTTATGTATGTAAATACGGTATGGTTAATTAATTCTAATGGTAATGTGCGCTTCACACAAACGACGATCATAGGTTATGACAAGGTGATAGTAGCCGAATAACTAAGCAATTATCAATTAGGTATATATAGATGTAACAAATTTTGTATCATGATTGCAGTGTATCAAAGCCCATTTTCAAATTAATCTCATCAACGTTTCCTATACTTGTGTAAATGTTATAATTTTAAGCTTGCATTTACTCTCATTTATGTTAATATATATATGTTGTTATGGTTGACTTATCTTCAACCACACATTATTTTTTAAGATGCAAAATGAATTTCCACAACTACCAAGTTTATTACTAAAGGTGATTTCACATTAATTTCATTAGTATATTATTATTTAACTTTTATATCTCTAGATATGCTCCTTAATGAGGCTTAACATGCAAATTGACTGAAATCTGACATCATTTTTTTTAAAAGTTAGTATTTAATGTAAATAATTTACCCATACCAATGTCGTTGGTGTAAGTAGTTTGTCACCATTGTAAGTAAAACGACTCGATTCAGCGAAAGAAATCATTCGGTCACCTTTCCTTTTGGATCGTGATGAACTAGAATTTCACATAGATAATGAATAATATAATAGGTATGACATTTTTTTTTACTTTAACGTGAATTTGGAGCAACCCAATATATAATTTTCTCACATTATTCTCACAATATTTCAGAAAAAAATGTGTTTTATTAGAATACTAGCTTTAGTTACTTTGAGCAGCATTTCTAAACAATATTTATTCATTATATCGTGTAAAATACCTGAAATAAAGTTTCATCCCCTATTTTACCCCATTAGGGGTGGAATTTATCAAAATCGTTTCTTATGGGATGCCTACGTTATAGTAGCTTTATGCATGCAAAGTCTCAACCCGATCGGTTTAAAATTGACAAAGTTTCATACAAACTTTCATCCCCTATTTTATCCCCTTGTCAAATCAAAATCCTTTCTTAGCGGATGCCTACGTCATAACATCTACCTGCATGCCAAATTACAGCCCGATCCGTCTAGTGGTTTGGGCTGTGCGTTGACAGATCACTATGTCAGTCAGTCGCCTTTGAGTTATATACATTTAGATTTACAAGAGTAAAATGAAATCATGATTCTATTTAACCTTTTATACTTTCGCGCTTACCACGGCCGGTGTAACCCGATCAAAACGGCAGGAAATATAGGTAGGTTAAAAACCTAATTATCAATCTAGCGCGTTAATACCTGACTCATAAAATCTAACCTGATTTTAATTCCCGAAAACCTATTTTGATTTTAATAAACAAGGTTTCAAATTCATCGAAACGTATCAAAGGTTGTAAATATATTTATTTTTTAGTAATTATTTATTTATTGATACTTCTTGCACAAATTTACAATGACGGACTTAATGCCGTAGACATTTATACTTTTTATTAACACTAGAAGCGCCACTATGCCATTTTTGTCCCACACGCAAGTTTGGATTGTATGTAACTTTTTTATTCGTTTATTAATGTCAATGACATTTTTACTTTTAATATTTTTTATGTTTTGTTGTTTTTTTAATGTCTTTTTTTTATCGACATTAGTTTTCATAAAATATACGTTTTACCTAGAATTGCCTCTGGGTCATTTTTGTGTCGTAATGACGAGACAAAAATGATTTGAAGAAGTAATTCAACATACATACATAACATACATTGCACCAAGAAGAAACGGGGTGTCGAGGCGTTGCATCTGCGAATAAGTAATTGAAAGTTGTGTTTTGTTTAGCAGTCAGTTAGACACACAGAACATTATTACATTAGCCATTGCTGTACGTAAAGAGCGTACATTATTGTTATTCTAAGTGCGCTTCTCACGTGTATATTTACAATGAAAGTCATAAAATTATTTTGTATTGTGTATTATTTTGTATTGTGTATTGTGTATTATTGTGTATTATGTATTATTGTGTATTATTTTAATGACATCTTGGAAATTGACTCAGACGGGAAAACTTTGGAATACTACAGTTTTTCATGTTACGAATCTGAAGATACTCAGATAAAAATTACTAGGTTAGAGCCGGCCGCAACGAGTCGACTGCGACATTCAAAAAGTTGTCGCTTTGCTACTTTTGTATTTGTTAAGCAACATGAATTTGTTTTAATTTCATTATTAAACGAGTTCTGAATATTTCATATTTTTTTTAATAATAACTTTCATGTGTTATACCAATAATCATTATAATAAGTAGAATGGGCAAAATTGTCACGATGGTGGTTCAAAGGGGATCTCAATCTTCGGCGCTTTTAGTGTTAACGCACAAGTTCCACAATTTATTTCAAAACAAAAATAGGGTATTGTATTAAGGAGATTTCGTAGATCCTTCAACCTATTTTATTACTCAAAAATATTTCCTGTGTAATTTCCGAAAATGCACCAGCATCAATAAATAATTATCACTTTATTATTCTGTATTGTCACTGTATTATACCCAATGATTTACAATTGGCTCGTGTCCGAATTCTGAAATATTATAAAGTGACTCGCCAATATCTGAATCTTAAAAAGGGAGAAATTTGAAACAAAATGGAAAGTGCGATATAGGGTATTGACATATTATATCGAAGCTAATACTATCGATGCTACTACAGTATATATATCGTACTTACAGTGTAAAAAAAGGGTATAGTAATGAAATACAGTGTGGTGAGTTTCGATACTATCGAGATTTTATTTAGGTTATTCTATCAATGCTTTAAGCAACATCGATAATTTATAAAACTGTAGCTGGAATTGATAATATCGGAGTTAATATTACTGATACTATTACATTATATCAATACATTGGCCTATATCACACTATAAATAATATCGATACCCCAAAATAGTCTGATGCCCGCCCAGAATTTTCATTAACAAAGAATACTAGAATTAGTGTACTAACCAACCTCCAACCCCACCCTACCCGCGGTGTTATAACCAGAGGCTTGCTCCTCTTGGAAGAAAATGTCACCTTAATTATTGATATAATTAATTTAGAACTGTAGTAAAGTGCTTTTAGATTTTAACGGTTATATGTTTTGATTATATAAATTTGTTTGCGAGAGTATCTTTGAAGTTTGTACGTAATTGAAAGGAAACGTAACATAATCATATTCATATAACATTCGCAATAATTTTATTACGACTGATATAACGAAATATATGATGACAATTTGCACACACATAGAGGTATCCTTTCAACAGTGCCGTTGTAAAGTTATGTAGCTACGAGTAACATGAAAGGATGTGATGTTGAGCTTATGAATATTTATTTAGATTAGGCTGGTATTACACTGTGCGTTTAAGCCGTTTCTGCGACGATTTCAGTTATATGAGACAGCTTCATAGTAAATGAAATGGTCTTTTAAAATATTGCAAAATTATGTTTTTTATGCAATGTTCTCGTTATATATGTCTACAATAGCTTGTCTTATTAATGAATAAGTTAAAAAATGTAAGTTGCAATAATTTGTTGAAAATTTACTAACTCGCTTCTTCTCCTGTATGAATTTCAGCCGATCATCTACGTTCGACGTGCGTTTGAAACGCATAGCTTAGTATCAGCCTGTTATTTAAAAAATATTAAGAGCTATATCAGATCGAATACACTTAGAATTTATTGAAGTGCCATAATTTGTTTTAATTGTGTTATTATGTAGAAGAAGAACTTGTATCAAAATTATTTATTGTGGAAAACGTTTGTTTGTTGTAATTATGGAGATGAGCCACGCTTATTATATAGTTTGCCCTACAAGTAAAAGTCTATGCATCTTTTAGATTTCTGTCTTAACATTTTATTCGATAATACATTAACTATAGATAACTATGTTTTTTTGTCATATTATCTTGTAAAGTCTCTTACGTGTTTTTATATTTGATAATGAAAAAACTCTGGTACAATTTTGAGCTCTTTCCTTTCTTTCTGTATACTTTTAGCTACAAAACAAATTGTGGCTCAACATCGAACATAATGTTTAGTTTACACACACAGTTGTATTTATCATCGGAAATGTTAAAGAATAATAATATATTTTGTACAAAAAAATTGTATTTTTATTTTCAACCTGACTTAATACTGCGTATAAATATCAAAATAAGACACGACGAAATTAGCAGACCATCAATGACACGAACGGGTACAGATTATGGAGTATTACACACAACTTAAACCCTATATTTTTCCCAGGGGAAATATATTATATGTGTCATGGATCAACTGATAAATCAGGGCATTATGAATAATGACAAGCTGCTTAGGGCAAACTAGATAATTATGATTTAGACAACCTTATTTATTACATCACCCGGATATTATGGATATTGCCATGTGTTGCTTGAGTTATCTGATACGAAAGTATTTCACGGGACGTGGAGAGGAGAACAAATATGCTAATACAGCAATAGTTTATACGGAACAGAATCGTAAGTAAACAAAGAAATTTCGCATTCACAATGCTATACTGGAAAATAATATTAATGACAAAAAAATCCAATTTGTCCCTGGCACTCGGAGATGGGATTCGAACATGATGTTTCTTTCGCCTGTTTGGGTGGATTGCATTAATGAAAATACGCTCTGCAGTAGCAAAAAAGTTGGAAAATTCGTCAGTCCTGGGTAGCTCAGTGGTTACAGCACTAGCCCAA